ATACAGTGGCTGCCAGTCCCATCCCCAGAGACTATAGAACAGTCCACTAGCCGTTAAAATGTCATGAGGTTACTCGACTATTCAATTAACCAATATTTAACATCCCTAGTTTGTACCCCTCCTGACGTAGTGCAGGGTATGCGCACCTGTCACAGGGCTCAACAGGTAGTGATCAGCGGCTCAATGTCTAATTAGCAGCCAATATCAAGCAGAGTGCCCCAGAGGTCAGTCCTGGGGGTGGTTTTGTTCAACATCTTCATTAATGATCTGCATGAGGGGATGGATTACACAATCAGCAAGTTTGCAGATGACACTAAGATAGGGTGAGAGGTAGATATGCTGGAGGGCAGGAAAGGGCCCATAGTCCCTAGACAAATTGGAGGATTGGGTGAAAAGAAATCTGATGAGCTTTAACAAGGACAAGCACAGAGTCTGCACTTAGGGCAGAAGAATCCCAAGCATTGTTACAGGCTGGGGACCGATTGGCTAAACAACAGTTCAGCAGAAAATGACCTAGGGATTACAGTGGATCAGAAGCTGGATAGGAGTAAAAAGTGTGCCCTTGTTGCCAAGAAGACTAATGGCATATTGAGATGCATTAGGAAGAGCATTGTCAGCAGATAGATGAAAGCGATTATTCCCTTCTCTGGAGTATTGTATCCAGTTTTGAGCCCCCAATTACAGAAACGCATTGAAGACAGTCCAGCAAAGGGCAACAAAAATTATTAGGCGGCTGGAGAACATGACTTATGAGGAGAGGCTGAGAGAACTGGTCTTATTTAGTCTGCAGAAGAGTTAAAGGTGGTGGTGGGGACTTGATGGCAGCCTTCAGCTACCTGAAGGGGAGCTCCAAAAGTGATGGAACCAGGCTATTCTCAGTGGTGGCAGATGACAAAACAAGAAGAGATGGTCTCAAGTAGGAGAAGTCTAGGTTGTACATTAGGAAAATCTATTTCACTAGGTGGGTGGTGAAGCACTGGAATGGGTTCCCTATGGAGGTGGTGGACCTCCTTAGAGGTTTTTAAGACCAGGTTTGACAAAGCCCTGGCTGGTGTGATTTGGGGTTGATTGTGCTTTGAAGAGGGGGTTGAAATAGATGACTTTCTGGGGTCTCTTCCAGCTCTAATCTTCTCTGAGTGAGTCTATGCTGTGAGTGTGTACCTAGGCCTGTGATGGGCATGCGCTCAGAGCAGCTGGCCCTTCTTACTACTTGCACTGCTAAGACTGAATTCTCATTTTAGTGATCTCGCATTTAGAGATTTAGAGCTGGGAATTACACCCCAGCTCAGAGTGTAAATGTAGCTGGAGAGCCTGATTTCTAGGACTGGTGAAAGCTGAAAACTTTAATTCTTCTCCAAGGGCTCTGCACCTCTGATAATCAGTTTCTTTACCTCACTGCCTCTTTTTTCTTATGTGATGTGGATTTAATACGTAGTTTTGTCCTATTGTGAGGCTTCATTAATATTTGTGAGTCTCTTTGAAGATGAAAAGTACTCCACAAGTATTTACAGAACATTGGTTTAATTATAGGTATATGGAGAAATATAATTAAAGTATATTTTCTATGTTGGGATTGCAGATGATACCACTAGAGTGCCCCTAGGAACTGAAGGTGGATATATCAATGCCAGCTTCATTAGAATGCCAGTGGGAAATGATGAATTTGTCTACATTGCATGTCAAGGACCACTCCCAACGACAGTAGCGGATTTCTGGCAAATGACTTGGGAACAAAAGTGTACTGTAATAGCCATGATGACCCAGGAAGTAGAAGGAGAAAAGATAAAATGCCAGTGCTATTGGCCAGATGTACTTGGCAAAACTATCATGGTAAATGATAGACTTCGACTGGCCCTTGTGAGACTGCAGCAGCTGAAAAGCTTTGTCATTAGAGTGCTGGAGCTAGAAGATATTCAAGTAAGTGAATCCAGTCATTCAACACTTTGTGGGTTTGGAGGGAATTAGGTAGGGTTTTGTGGGAGCTTCTGGGTTTTTTGTTTTGTTCTGTTCTGTTTTGTTCGGCTTTGATCCCCTCAGTCCAGCCACAGCTGGTCTAAATTACCCCATTCTGGAAAAACACAGGTTTAATCTTCTTTGAAATCCTTTTTGTCCTTATTTTTTCTGACTGTTATGATTTTGCTTCCTCCATGTGACAATTTCAGTGAGTGGCTTCTTCCACTACTGGAATAAAATTCTGCATCAGCTAGCATAGATGCTGGAACAAGTCGTTCTGAGGGTGCTGCTGCGCCCCCTGGCTTGGAGTGGTTTCAGTTATGTCCGGGATTTACAGTTTGGTTCTATAGCTCTCAGCACTGCCACTATGCAAATACTTCCAGCTCCCTGCTGTAAGGTAGCTGGAGAGCTTTTTCAGCAGATAACAGTTATGCACTGTTCAAGCACATCACCTCACAGTGCTAAAATGCCCCTTTCTTTTTCGAGTGGTTGCTCATGTCCATTCGAAGTAGGTGTGCACACCGCATGCACCGTGTCTTCCGGAGCGTTTTCCCTAGCGGTACCCGTAGCGCCGGCAGGGCGCCCCCTGGAGTGGCACCGCAATGGCGGGGCATAAGTACCCCTGCCGGCGCTGTCCCACCTCAGTTCCTTCTTACCGCCGTGACGGTTGTTGGAGCGTCTCTCTATCTCTCTTAGTCAGCTAATGGTTCCCGTTCTCACATTTGTCTGTAAATAGTTCTTGTAGTTAGATAGTTAGGTTCTTTGTTTTGTTCCTTCCCCCTTGGGGGTAAGGAATGCCAGGGCCACAAGGCTTCAAGACGTGCGCTGACTGCGGGAAGTTTATGCCCAGGGGCGACCCACACGACAGTTGCCTTAAGTGTTTGGGTGAGGCTCATCTGGCAATTGCCTGTAAGATCTGTAAGTCCTTTAAGCCCCGCACGAGAAAAGAAAGGGTTTCCCGCCTGAAGGTTCTCCTCATGGAGACAGCGCTTCAACTGGTGCCGCCAGAGCAACCTGCGGTGCGCAGGGCACCGGCTTCCACGCGGGAGGCTCCACACCGGCACCGTGCGTCGGCGTCGAGGTCTCGGCACCGGTCTCACTCTCCTCCATCCAAGAGGGCGAAGAAGTCCCGCGGAAGGTCCCCTTCAAAGAAGTCAACTTCGATCGGGCACCGCGGCGCGGGCTCACCGGTGCACACATCTCCTGCGGCGCACCGCCGGTGCCAAGGAGGCCTCGATAGTCCTGGTCGCCTACCTTCATACCGCCCATCCACGCCGGACACGTTTGAAGCGGCGCAGGACCTTATTAGCCTCACGACCTCCCCTCCATCGTCGGTTGACTCGGAAGGGTCGAGATCACCCTCGCCGGAGTCTCAGCTAGCTACGACTTCGCCCCCGCATGGCCCAGGTCGGCATGCTAAGGCGGCTTACGCGTCAGGACCACCCCATGTGGGGTCAGTACCGATCGCTACTACGGCACCCTTCTCGACGCTGAGTTGTCAGTCTCAGGTAGCTTCGAGCCGTGCTCGAACTTCGCTGCAGCTGAGCTCCCTGCCAGCCCCCCGCCTGATGGTACCGGTACCGTATCTCCGTAGCCATGTGGCGTCCACTCAGGCACCTCTCTTCTCCATGGCGGACACCCAAGAGCCAGCATCCGTCTCCATGCCTTCATCGGCACCGGCATCGACGCAGTGATCTCTTCCGGCGCTGGGCCTGGGGACCCCGGTGCCGCAACCGCCGGCCACAACTCAACCGGCACCGGGCCTGAACACCCCTGTGCCGCAACCAATGGCGGCAACTCAACCGGCACCGAGCCCGAGCACCTCAGTGCCGCAACTGCTGGCGTCTCAACCGGCACTGGGCCT